ATTATATATATATATATTATTATTATTATTATATATATATATATATATATATATATATATATATATATATATATAATATTTATTGAACTTATCTGAACATTTTTGAAAAAAATAGATATTATTGGGGCACACAGTTTAGTTAACCCACAAAGTTAAAACTGGCATCAAATTGAGAAATTTGGCAATTTGGTAAGTTTCTATTGGCAATTTTTACAATATCAGTACAATGTGGCAACAAGTTATTTCCCACCTATCAATCTTATTTAACGTTCTTTCTGTATCAACTTTTTCAATCCTTTCTTCCGGTTCTACACATGTTAACGTACACCACAAAACAATTCTATTTGGAATAAATTACGAAACAGTGTCCGAGCGTGTTTAGTGATTTAGTGCGTTCAGTGCTGAATATATCACGAGTAGAAATAGCCGTGAGGCGCGGACGCGGGAAATACGCGGATTCCACTGCAATGCGGAGAATACTTCCACTTAACTGATTTGTTTCTCAATGTAACGCTCTTGAGACGTCCATATTGCATTTATGCTGATGACATGACAGAGCGAATAAATATTGATAAGCATGATCTCTACTTTACTAGTTTCATTAACACATGTCCGCAAAACAGAGTCGCTGATATCTCGCCAATGAACCGTGAGTCTTCTATCAGGCGCTAATGTCGCACCACTTGTATAATTAAAAGAACTTTGATACTCGCGTTACGATCAGTATGCTGCTCCAGTTTTTTAATCTACTTAGCAATTTAAATAACGCGACGTTAGACTTGATGCAGGATGATTTATGTGAAATGTTGTCTTATGGATAACATGATTCTTCGCGCTCTGTTCACTTTTTGATCTTTACAAGCTACAATTTGACACGAGAGATTTGTAAGCTATTATTTTACATTAACAAAACAAAAAGAATAAAAATAAAAGTTTTCAGTATTGACTTAAGGATTTTAAATGGCACTTTATGCCATAAAATACTTTTCAAATAATTGCGATATTTTTAGAAAAAGATTTTTTACAATTTTCTAATTCTTTAACTTTTATGTATTTTTAAACATTTTCAAGTGTTTTTCTGATATTTTTATGTTTTTTCATATGTTCTAAACTTTTTTAAAATTTTGATGTTGCTTGGAAGATTATAAAATATTTGTTCAACGTTCTGTGCTACCTTTCAAAGCTTATTAATTCGTAAATGATTATTGTTTAACACGAACCTATATTAAACGATTTATCACATTCTTATCATGTAGCTCACATTCTTCTGCAAAGTATATCATCAAAGAAGCGTGTGGAGAGCGAAAAATAAGGGCCACGCACGAGCGAGCCTTGAGTCGCAAGCGGGTGAAAACGAGGAAAAAATGAGGGACGTTATTCAGAGCCGTGGCAGAGTCCGGTGGATTCAAGATAGACGGATAGCGTGCCTTGCCGGGCTGGTCCGGAAGTCGCGTGTCGACGGCAGCCATAACAGCCCCTCCGCGACTCTCGCCCTTCCTCCACCTGAACCACCACCTCGGCTTGATTTCCTTACCTGCTACCAACGACGACCAGCACGGCCTACCACGAGATTGGCCTCGTGTGTGCGAAAAGCAATCCGTGCAAGTCGGAGGTAAGAAGGTGTTGGTGCAGCGTTACCCTAACAAACCGCGAGAACGGGTCGGCGATTGGTCGATCCTGCCCGAGCGAGCAAGGCCCGAAGGAAAGCAGCCCTCTCTCTTCTCTTCAACCCTCTCGGTTACGTACCGTTTTCAGAATCGCTAGGATAACCGTGCCGTTAACACTTCTTCAGTGCCGTTATAATTCTCGCTTGATATCACTGAAAATAATTAACAGTGTCGAATTGAGAAAATTTGTCGCGCGCGCTTGTGCTAAGATATTGCGACATCATACGAGAATTTAGCGAACACTACTGAAGACGTTTTGTCTAATTTAATCATTTATTCGTGGTATTTACAGCATTTGTAAAAATATTTTAGAGAGTAATTAAAATATTCCCTTACGTTTATATCAAAATAAAGTAAGACGTTTGAAGAATATGCTTTTCGCGCTTAGATATTTCGATATTAGATAGATCGCTCAGTTCTATTCTTCTTCTCGACAATGAAGCTCCCTTTCTACTCTTTAGCAAACTCCTACAAGCCCGTAATGTGACAAGTGCGAGCATCGTATCTTTCATTCGGCAAGTGTACGTCGCGTCGAACGAGATAATCACATCGGATGTAATTCCTCGCCGCTCCGTGTATCGTCGACGGTGTGTAATTTTCGACGAGAGTGAGTCGATCGAGCGAACCATGCTCGCGTTCTGCGCGGAAGGATCGTAGGGCTTAGCATGAGCAGTAACAGCAAGAAGCCACCGGGAGGCAAGGACGACAAGAAGAATCCCTCCAGCAAAGAGGACAGCCCGTCGGGCGGCAAGGACGATGGTGGTTCAGCTTCGACGGCAAGCAATGGCGGCGCGGCCGCAGGTGAACTGTCTCCGCAGCCTGGCAGCAAGCCTAGCTCCGCCGGTGCCACCGCCAGGGAAGGGGCCCCAAAAGGGCTCCTGGGCCTGGCGGCGCGCGGCGAGTGGGCTCCCGTGGACCAGCTGCTCAAATCTCTGGAGAAGACGGTGCAAAGCGCGGGCGAGGACGGCTTCATTGTGCCGCTCGCCGGCGTTCTGGACCCGGTTAGTTTCAACTGAGATAATCGAGAATTTTTGTTTTGCCTCAAAAGAAATCAATATACTTAAAAAGAATTTTTTAAGTAAAAAAAATATAACGTTTCAATGAATACAATACAATATTTTATATAATTTGTCATGCAAAGTTCATGAGGAATTTTGAATGAACGTGAGAACTGAAATATCACGCGGCAAATCTCTCGCCTGCGATGCTCGCGGTTTTGTTTTTTTTTTTTTTTTTTAGTTTTCAAAAACTTTTAATTTGCAGACGACGGGGATGACGCCGTTGATGTACGCAGTGAAAGACAATCGCAGCGCGCTGCTCGACCGGATGATCGAGCTCGGAGCCGACGTGGGCGCCAGAAACAATGCAAGTACTCCATGATGAACGCGTGAATTAAGCAAGTCACGGAATAGCCGACCTATAGTCTTTAAGTTCTTTAGCTTTCATAAAGCTTAGAAAAACAAAAGATCTTCTCACAAGATTCGCGCCTTCCACGCAAGATTCTTCGAATTCCATATTCCATTCGAATGAAACACTTGAGTCATCGTGTTCTTTGATTCATTGCCGTTGCGATAAGCTTTCGTGCTGGGGTTACGTGGCACCGGCGAAGGTGACGCGTGTCGCGAAACGTGTACCGCTAATGATCAGGCCGCGATTTGTGCTAAGCCGAGTCACTCGAGGTAACAGAAAGAACGATTGCGTGAAGGAGGGCCAAGGTCAAGGGATTTATGCTTACTGACCGAGTGGACAAGACGGTTGCTCGCATAAAAGGGACAAGTAGGCCGCGACGAAAAAGTGGCCCGATTCTTGAAGTAGATTAAATCACTAAAGTTGCCAATCGAGTACTTATTTTAGCTGCAACAGCTCTTGCGCTTGACACTGCGGATAGGCGATCAATTATAGTAGAATTCTTAGTGCTAACTTTCTGAAAGTCATTGGGAATTCCTTTTGCTAGGAATTACAAGGAGCTTATAGCAAATTGTATTGATTTAAAAAGTCCTACGCGTCAGAATAAAATAGCGTGAAAGAGAGAAAAACAAGAATAGCGTTACTCAAAATTAAGGTCTCTCTCTCGGCGTAGATTAATAACTTCTAGTTAATCATTTATTTCCAGAGAAAAGAGATCACAATTTTCGCTATTACACCCAATCTGGAAAAATTAATAGTTTACAACCTAATGTCGACTTCCTCTTTCAATGTAATATATAAAATGGCGCATTACAATCGCGGTAAACCTATATTAGGGCATCGCTTTGCAAACAAGGCGTTGCGCACTCACTACTATCGATTTTCCAGCCACCGCTCCCATAATGATTCCAATATAATTTTCAAATAGCATGCTGATACATCGTGATTGAGACTAAAACAACATCAGAGTTTGCTCGAATTTATGGGCGTGGTTGGATAAAATTTGCAGAATTATTACTGCTATTGCTTTTCGCCGTAAAATTATAATTTTTAGCACAATATCGTGCATTTATATCGTGTCTTTTTCAAATGTTTAAAAAAATTAATTAATTAGTAAACACAGCAACTATTAAGGATTTATTTTGATATCATTTCGAAGAGAAATTGGAAAGGCTATATTAATTATCTTCTTAATTTGCAAAATTATATCATGTACAAAATAGATGCTTCGGAAAAACTAAACAATTCACCGACCTGCATTTTCTTTGCAGGACAATTACAATGCTCTCCATATCTCTGCCATGTATTCGAGGGAGGATGTCGTTAAGTTGTTGCTGTCGAAGAGAGGTGTTGATCCCTACGCTACGGGAGGGGTATGAATTCATTTTTGTAACTTACAGAAATTTATTGCAAAAATATTTTATCACAAAACTTGTAACTATTATTATAGTACAAAATTTTATTAAAATTTTAATATTTTATAGGAAAAATTTGCTTTTAATTATTGTAGGAAAATTTTATTTTGTCTCAAGTCTTTGCATATTATCTTGCAAATATTCTTTGTGATATCACAAATTTTTTGACTAATTATAATTTAGATTATTTGAATTCAATTTCAGTGTCGAAATAACGAAACAATTGTACTCAGAATTAAAATTAATAATATATGACGGGCTCTTCTATTATTCAATAATCAGTTACATTAATAAACGAGCTAATGGCCGAAACGTTTGTACTCTTAATTTTAATAAATAACTGAGCACGTAAAAAATCCAGCTCTGGCTTTATTAATGTAATTGATAATTGCACTCAAATTATTGCGAATTCTAAAATTGACCTCGAACTATTCTCAAATAACCTTACATGATAGAAAACCATAATTTCTTGAAATATATTCATGTGTACGCGTTTATTGTGCGTAGCCAAGACAACAAACGGCGGTTCACCTGGTGGCGTCGAGACAAACGGGTACCGCGACGTCGATTTTACGAGCGTTATTGGGTGCTGCCGGACGAGATATCAGGCTAAAGGTCGACGGTGTAAGTAGCGGGGAAAAATATTTTATTAACCCTTGCAGAGAAGACGAATAGGAACACGAATAAATCAATATGTTGCCTGAAAGCGTTCTAAGCTTTTCGATATTAAAAATGACACAGTCGCGTGGCTATGGAAACACCATAGTGAGTTCATGTTGGCCCCAAAACTTCAAATTAGACGAAGATAAAGATTTTTCTGCAATAACCGCGGCACGATGCTCCCGTTTCGCGTCCGCGTTTCTCGCGTGACAGGTGCCGCGCGCAGAGAGATCGCTACCTGGTACCGAACGGCGCCATAACTCTTCTCTAGTCAGCTCTGTCATATACTTCGTCGCGATAGTACGACGATAATACCACGATCAGGAGAAGTCGATGAACGCCGACAATCACGGCGACCCTGGTCGCCCGTAGATAAAAACAATAACGATACACGGTTAGATATTTCGTATAAACACGAAAAACCTTCGTGTTATCTATCACGATAACATTTGAAAATTTTTATGCAAAAAATTAATAAATACATTCTAAGCGATTTTTAGCAGTTATCGTAATTAATAATCTTAATATTATAATTAATTCTTTTTCCATTTTCTTCATAATTTAAATATTTACGAAATTTATAAAACGTTCTTTACAACTATAGAACTTACAGCATATAGAACAGCTATAGAACTTTAAAACTGTAGAATAAAACAAAGTATCATTTTTAACGTTTGCCTAGAAATAGTAAGTATTTCATAAAAATTGATTATTGCTTCAAAATGAAGTGTAAAGGTAAGTTTCTCTTAAATTTATACACAACAATATTCAAAATTATATAGCAATGAAAAATTTAGAACCATATTATTTTAAATATATGTGTAAAAATATTTTTTGAAAGATGATTTTATTTTATGTAGCGTATGTTGATTATCGTTAAATTATGAGTATTTTTTGTCTTGTAGAAAAGATTCTATTCTATTTTATTATCCAATTCTATCATATTTTATTATCCAAATTTGTTTTTAATTTTATTTTTCATCGTAGAAAGGAAAGATACCTCTTTTGCTAGCAGTGGAGGCTGGCAATCAGTCGATGTGTCGAGAACTTCTATCACAGCAAGCACCTGATCAGCTTAAGGCAACCACACCGTCGGGTGATTCCGCTTTGCATTTAGCCGCTAGAAGAAGAGACATCGATATGGTGCGGATTCTGGTGGATTACGGCGCGGCTGTCGACATGCAAAATGTACGTACATGCACATGTTAAATTCAAACACACAAAGATTTGATATAAAATAAAATTAAACTGATCATAATCAAGTATGTTAAAAATTACTAGATTTTACGCGATTTAGATTTCAATACTGATTAAAACACTTGAATTTTTAAGATTCTAAAATTTTGATTCTGATTAGATTACAATTCTTCGTCAAACTAACTTCGAATATATTCGTACGTTCGTGACGACAAGCGTGAAAACAGAAAAGAAAAACACGATCATGAATGTGAGCGTATATCGATGAGCTGCGAGTTGTCAACAAATTAAGTTGGAAAGATTTCTGTAAATACAATAGCTTGCGTGGACAATAGAAAACGATGCGGAACCGTTAAAACGCGGAACGCTATTAAATAAGATTTCAATTTACAATGAGAGTAGAATATATATTTTATCATTTAGTACTAAATTACAATTATAAAAAAATCGTAATAAATAAAATGAGCATTTATATACGGATTTTAATCCAAACACAGTGATATTGTTCAAACTTTACTACTTGTGTAGTATCTTCGAGTGTTTTAAAGCTCGCAAATTATACGACATGATATTATACACCGTAAATCCATTACTGATTTTATGTTTGTTTCAGCAAACTATTGTACATGGCATTTAATTACTCTTTCCGCGGTTTTATGACAGTCGGAATTACCGTTTTTTTTCTTTCTATCTTTTAAGTACATATAAATAATTTTATAATTATTAAATTTAATTTTAACTTAAAATTATATGTATAATATTATATATTATTATTTGACATTACTTAATATTGTACATAATTATATACATAAAATTTTGGAGTTTAAGTTTTAATGTCACAAGCAAATTGCAAAGCTCAACAAGATCGATTACACACGGAATAGAAGTGACGCACGCGGCTTGTAAATTGCAACGAAAACAGCAAGTCTATGTTTTATGAGTAATGATTGGAAATGAAACTGCCGTGAAATTTGCACAAAGTTTTAAAAATTACTGGTTGCAACTACTACACTTGCCTGATACGAAAAATATTTTATGACCTTTTGCATTTCTTGCCGCCACGCAAAAATGACATCCAGTGAGTCTTAGTTGCGTCACAAAAAATTAATCTGATAGGATAGAAAAATTTCCACGAGAGAGAAATGTCTTAAAAAATTTTCTGCAAGATTTTAATATTTTATATTATTAAGTATTAAAACAAGAGTATGTTTAATCGTAATGCTGCTGAGCAATGTATAATTATTAAAAAATATTAGCGACATTTAAGACAATTATTTCAGGGCGACGGACAAACTGCGTTACACATAGCGAGCGCGGAGGGAGATGAAACTTTAGTGAAATACTTCTATGGCGTCAGAGCCTCCGCATCGATCGCCGATCATCAAGATCGAACGCCGATGCATTTGGCCGCGGAGAACGGCCACGCTTCCATAATCGAGCTGCTGGCTGATAAATTCAAAGCGAGCATTTTTGAAAGAACGAAGGATGGCTCAACTCTGATGCACATTGCGTCATTGAACGGACACTCGGAATGCGCTACCATGCTCTTCAAGAAAGGTGTTTATCTGCACATGCCGAACAAGCGTGGTGCCAGATCTATTCACACGGCTGCGGGATATGGCCATGTGGGTATTATTAGCACTTTACTGCAACGAGGAGAGAAGGTAAGTTGTTTATCATCGTTACAAAATATTTAAATATTAAAATTGATATCAAAATTGTAATATCTAATATCGAAACTTCGATATCAATAATATTATCACGCTATATATATATCGTAACACTGTCATCACCAACGAAAAGCATAATTGATATCAAATCTGATATCAGAATTGCAATAATGATATCGACATTTTGATATCAATGATACACCGGATATAGATAGCGTAATATTTATCAGCGTGGATAAAATGTCAGTGATAAATGTAATGTTAATCTTTTCTGAGCAAAAATGTGGATATCGCATTTTTTATCTTTTATAATATTAAGTATCAGTCAGTGTCATCTACAATAATATTAAGTGTGTTAGATTTTTTGTTTTGTAAAAAAATTCCATTTAAGGTCACGAAAATATTTTTTCGCAATCCACATGTTAAATTTCACGCTGCAAAACATATTTATTTTTCAAGTTACATATATTTTTTGTGTTTTTGTTGTGTCGGACAGGTGGACGCAATAACTAACGATAACTATACGGCACTCCATATAGCCGTGGAAAGTGCCAAACCGGCCGTTGTGGAAACCCTTTTAGGATACGGCGCGGAGGTACACGTGAGGGGTGGAAAGTTGCGGGAAACTCCGCTTCATATAGCCGCCAGGGTGCCCGACGGTGACAGATGCGCTCTGATGTTGTTGAAATCCGGAGCAGGTCCCAATTTGACAACTGACGACGGCCAAACACCCGTACATGTGGCAGCCAGCCACGGAAATTTAGCGACGCTTCTTCTGCTGCTCGAAGACGGCGGAGATCCGATGTTTAAATCAAAAGTACGTCGACAAAACCGGAAGTCAGATCTAATGTATTCTTGATCAAATATAATATAATAATTATATATTCTTTTCGATTAATTTTATATCTTACAATTGCTAAAATATTAAAAAAATTATATTAATATATATTTATGTGCGCTTTTTTCAGAAATGTCTTTCTTGATTTAATTGTTAAATGCTTTTATTATATTTTACAATTATTTTCTTTTCATTCTAATAATCAGAAATTTCGAACCTTCTCATAATAAAGATTTCTCTTCTCCTCAGAACGGAGAGACGCCCTTGCATTTGGCTTGCAGAGGCTGCAGGGCGGATGTGGTCAAGCACTTGATAGAGTTCGTGAAAGAGAAGAAAGGCCCGGAAGTGGCGACTGCCTACGTGAACAGTTTAACGAACGAAGGCGCCAGCGCGCTCCACTACGCCGCCCAGATCGAGCCATCGGAAGTCGGCACGCCCGGTGACGATCGCGCGGTCGTACGCGCCCTTCTCGACAGCGGCGCGGACGTCTCGATGCAGACCAGGCAGGCCCAGGAATCGGCGTTTCACCACTGCGCTCTCGCCGGCAACAACGAGGTCCTATCGGAGATGATCAGCCGCATGCCGGCCACGGAAGTGCAGAAAGCCTTGAACCGACAGAGCGCCGTCGGCTGGACGCCGTTGCTAATCGCCGCTCATCGCGGCCACATGGAACTGGTGAACAATCTTCTCGCTAATCACGGCAGAGTCGACGTGTTCGACCTCGAGGGCAGGTCCGCTCTTCATCTAGCCGCCGAGCACGGCTATCTTCAAGTCTGCGACGCGCTGCTGGCGAACAAGGCCTTCATTAACTCCAAGTCGCGTGTAGGAAGAACCGCTCTGCATCTGGCTGCCATGAATGGTTACACGCACCTAGTTCGATTTCTCGTCCAGGATCATGGCGCCGCGATCGACGTGCTCACGCTGAGAAAGCAGACGCCTCTTCACTTGGCGGCGGGCGCAGGTCAGCTGGAAGTTTGCAAGCTTCTGCTGGAGCTCGGCGCCAGCATAGATGCAACGGACGACCAGGGGCAGAAACCGATCCACGCCGCGGCTATGAACAATTACGCCGAAGTGGCTCAGCTCTTTCTACAGAGACACGCAAGCCTTGTGATGGCCTGCACGAAGGACGGCAACACCTGCGCTCACATCGCCGCCATGCAGGGCAGCGTACGGGTGATCGAAGAGCTGATGAAGTTTGATAGACAGGGCGTGATAACCGCCAGAAATAAACTCACGGAAGCGACTCCCCTGCAACTGGCGGCGGAAGGCGGACACGCCGAGGTAGTGAAGGCTTTGGTTAGAGCCGGAGCGTCCTGCACTGATGAGAATCGCGCGGGTTTCACCGCCGTTCATCTGGCGGCTCAGCATGGCCATGGCCAGGTACTCGAAGTGATGAGATCGTCGCAATCTCTCAGGATATCCAGCAAGAAGCTCGGCGTCACCGCGCTTCACGTTGCTGCGTACTTTGGACAAGCCGGTAAGCAGAAATCTCATAAAACTCTAATGTAATTATTAATATAAAATATTAATATTAAATTTTGAATGCGTTAAATATGAGTATATATAATTTTGAAAATTAAATATATTTATTCTTTATAATTCTATGGCTTATGGCTAAACATAGAACTTTGCGACAATCCTAATTTTTCATATAGTTGAAGCGACGGATGATTACAATTAGCAAACTATATTTTTCTAAATAACGAAAATTAATTGTTATATTTATTTGAACGTTATATTGTTATATTTATTTGAACTTAATCAAAATTAATTTGGATTTAAAAATTAATAAAAGTAAATTAGAATAAATTAAACGTACATATTTAATTGAAATAGGTTTAGTTATATTTTTTTATAATTTTGCTAATAAGAAGAAAATAAATATGTTTTTATTTTCAAGATAAATTTTTAAAGTTAAATTTGTACTAGTACGATTTTTCGTACATGATGGACAAATAAACTAAGCTTAACAGATTTACGTTCGATTGATTCCAGATACGGTTAGAGAATTGCTAACTCATATACCCGGAACCGTAAAGTCTGATCCTCCGAATGGAGCATCTTTAGTAGGAGAATTAGGAGCCGAATCCGGAATGACTCCTCTGCATCTAGCTGCCTATTCTGGAAACGAGAACGTCGTGCGACTTCTTTTGAATTCTGCCGGAGTTCAGGTATAAGTTTATTAACCGCTCTTATCATATAATCATACGATTTTTTATCAGCAACTCACATACTTTATATCATTTTTACTTTATATCACACTTACTTTATATCATTTTGTTTACTCGCATTACTCGAAATCAGATAGATAAAATTGAATCAATATGCAAAATAACATCTCTCTAGAAACAATATTTGTATAATGATTAATTTCAAGGTTGAGATAATTGAATGTACAACATTAATTTCTTCAAGCTTAGAAAAATGAATTAAATTTTTGCCGCATCAAACATACATATTGAAATGCGAGGATATTCTAACCAAAGGTAGACGCAGCGACAACGGAAAACGGATGGAATCCCTTGCACCTGGCCTGCTTCGGCGGTCATATAACTGTCGTGGGCCTGTTATTGAGTAGATCAGCCGAGTTACTGCACAGCGCGGATCGTTACGGCAAAACAGGATTGCACATTGCGGCGACCCACGGTCACTACCAGATGGTAGAGGTACTTTTGGGTCAGGGAGCGGAAATAAATGCGACCGACAAGAACGGCTGGACGGCGCTGCATTGCGCTGCACGCGCCGGTTATCTGGATGTCGTGAAGCTGCTCGTGGAGAGCGGCGCATCTCCAAAAACCGAGACAAATCTCGGTTGTGCGCCGATCTGGTTCGCCGCGTCCGAAGGTCACAATGATGTGCTCAAGTATCTCATGGAGAAAGAACACGATACGTATGCCCTAATGGAAGATAGAAGGGTAAGATTAATAAAAAAATATACCAAAAAATTCTTAAAATAAAAAATCTCACAAGTTGGAATTTTTTCAAATTGCAGCTTTTTCCGTAAGTTATGAATTTCGTAAATTGTGATTAACAAATATAGATATATTAATAAAATTTGATCTCATTATCTAATAAAATAATTTAATAATCTACAAATTATTTTACGAAAATTTAATGAAAGACATTTATCGCAAATATTCTTCGCAATTCGACCGGAGAACGTTTTCTGTTGATAGCAAAAGAAAAACTAGAATTGTTTTTACGTCGATGATTGTATGTGAATATATAATTTAAATAATTATCACAAATTATAGAATGGCATGGCATGAAATGATCTCGAATTACCTTAAACTAGTCATTTCCTAAATTCTCGAACACTATAGCACTTCATGGGACCAAGAGGTGCACGACATTCGAAAAGTTTACTCATTTCGCCAGTCGAAGTCGGTAAACCGAACTAATAAATTTGCGTTTTAATGTTAGGTATGCACGCAAAGCGCGGTTACGCCAGTTTCGTGGACGAAAATTTATTAGTAATGCACATTTAGCTCAGATAATTTTAAAACAAGATTGGTATCACTGTCGTATAAAATTCCGCAGTCGTACTGTTCCAGAAAACTTTACCGTGATACTATTAATTCTAAATAAGCTTCATTAGAAATTAACTGAGGTGCAATATATGCCGAGTCAGAGTCCAAAATTACCATGTGTATAAAACAAGAGCTCTATATTTATATGCGACAAATTAAAATAGAGCGAAAAGCTTAGAAATCTAATACCAAAATAAAACAGTTGTTTGAAATATCATATAATTATAACTTTTTCAGAAATATAAAAATTTTACGAATTATGCTAATCCCAATTTTTATGTATATAAAATCTACAAAATACATTATTTATTTCTTTTTAGATTTAATTAATTAATAACTGCCACGATAATTTGTAGAATGCACATTACAAGATATAGAACGTTATTTGTATTTTTTCTAATTAAAAATTTCTTGATTCGAGCCAAATAAATTTGCATTTACAGTTTGTCTACAACATGATGGTCTGCAGCAAGAGTCACAATAACAAACCGATAGAAGAATTCGTCCTCGTGTCTCCTGCGCCGGTCGACACAGCAGCCAAACTTTCCAACATCTACATGAAGCTTTCCGAAAAAGAAAAGGAGCGCGCTAAGGATCTAATCGCAGCCGGGAAGCAGTGCGAGGCCATGGCCACGGAATTGCTGGCGTTAGCGGCGGGCGCCGACTCGGCTGGCAGGATTTTGACGTCGATGGATCGCAGGAACGTCGAGTTCCTGGACGTGTTGATCGAGAACGAGCAGAAGGAGGTGATCGCGCACACCGTAGTGCAACGCTACCTGCAGGAGCTCTGGCAGGGTAGCTTGAATTGGAACGCGTTCAGGACGATCCTGCTGTTCATCGCCTTCCTCATTTGCCCGCCCGTCTGGGTGGTGTTCGCCCTGCCGCTTGGACACAAATACAACAACGTGCCCATTATCAAGTTTATGTCGTACCTCACGTCGCACATCTACCTGATGGTCTTCCTGCTGCTGGTTGGTATCACGCCGATCTACCCGGTGGTGAGAGGAAACCTGATCCCGTACTGGTACGAGTGGTGCCTGCTGGTGATGCTGTCGGGGTTGCTGCTGTTCGAGCTGACGAACCCGAGCGACAAGAGTGGCCTGGGCTGGATCAAGCTGGCGGTGCTGCTATTCGGCATCTTCGGCGTGGCGTTCCACCTGTTGGGCTTTGTGATCGTCGAGAGGCTGCACTGGCCGACCCTGCTCTACCTGAGAAACCAGCTCTTTGCCCTCAGTTTCCTTTTAGCTTGCGTACAGATATTGGACTTTCTGTCGTTCCACCATCTATTCGGGCCGTGGGCGATCATCATCGGCAATCTCATGAAGGATCTTGCGAGGTTTCTCGCGGTGTTGGCCATCTTCGTGTTCGGCTTCTCCATGCACTTTGTTGCGCTCAACCAGGCGTTCAAGGACTTCCAGACGATGCAGGAAGCGCGCGCGGAAGACAGAAAGCAGAAGAAGCCGTTCTACGACGGTAAGTTCGAAACGCGCATTTTCCACATTCTCTCCCCTCTTTTTGATCAATCTCTATATATACCTTGTATACCTTGACGCCAATCCAGAGCTAGTGGCGCAGTTAATTGATTTTTTACAGCCCCCTCTATAGGATATATACGCGCACATATATTGTAGATATCATAGATACGTATGTAGATACCTATGTGTAGGGCTAGATTTTAGATTGGCAGTCGCTTCGACGCGGTACTGGTACTGTTTGACAAAGATGTAGATAACGCTTTCGCTCACGCAGGTTCGCTAACTTGCGTGAGCGTAAGAATGACGCAGTTACTTTCGTATATCTTTTGCATAAATTGGCAAACGCGTTCTTTCTCTTCAATATTTATATCCGGAATTAAAACTGCTGTAGTTTCGATGAATTCAGTTTTCGATATTGCACATATAGAAAAATTAAACTCACCGAAAATTGATATTTGGTTTTAATTAGCATTAGTTTGTACTACTTATAACAAGTGTACCTCAAACGTTCCTGATCCTCCCGCTAAATTGATTCCCTTTCGAAAGAGTAATCGATGTTGTGATAAATTTGCGCGTAGATTTCTTAATTGTCGTTTATCGAAATTTCGAAGTAAGTCTGCTTTATATCGATCATACTCAGAGACATGCAGAGCGATGCAAAATCGTAATCGAATGAATTGCAATGATAGATTTGTTGGCCAATGTTACGGAATGGATGACGGAGACGCCATCATCGGCGCCTCCTCGTCGCTACGGCCGCTACAAGAAAAAGAATGAGTGTTGTGACGATAGCAGCAGAGATAGTAAGTTTTGTTGGTTGAGAAAGATTAATCAGAAGCAACCGAATGGAAAGCGAACTAAAAAACAAAGATAATCGCACACGCGAAACTGAATGCAGGACACGATCCATCTCGGTGTCGTCCCGTCTGCATCGTGCATTTGGCCAGTGTGTGTTGTCTGCTGAGACTGCTGCCTGATATGACGAAAAAAAAAAGAAAAAGACAAAATAGAAAACAGAAAAGATACGCGCAGCATATCAGATATTATTTTTTATTCGAATCGTATGCTGCGATTCGGAAGCGACAGTAGAGAGAGAGAGAGAGAAACACGAAACAGTCGCATTCTCTGAAAATAATCTTATCTTGCGAAAAGCAAAAAGTATACAGCGATTGTATACAAAATACAATATTACTATAGTCGCATTAATAATTTAAATCAATTAATAAAATAAATAAATAAATAATTATTAAAGTATGTCATTTCTATTTTTTTAATTTATGAATCTCTCTTAATCTGGACTGTACATATAAAATTTACTCTCATTTGCCATTAAGAAATTTCGTAATCGTCAGTCCGCATCGCAGCATACCGAATAAGTATCTCGAATTGACAAGCTCGGACAATGTCCTGTGTATGCAATTGATTAGCTATCGATTAGCATTACTGCCGGAGCATATGTGCTCGTGTTTCTTTCACAGCCTCTGCCCGTGTGCATCCCCGTGTCTCGCTGTACGTATGTGTCTAAATGTAAATACACAAACGCACACATATGTATATGTACGTGTGTGTTTTTGTATAAGAGTCGTCTAAATCAAACATAGACTGCATCGTTGATATTAAAACAATACGGCGAAAGAATGCCGGTCTATGTTTTAT